CCTTGAGCGAAGACTATTGAGGCATCTAAACGGGTCACAGCAGGAGCCCAGGAATGGAAGCATCGACCATGAGTTCTCCTCTTGAATGTGTCAGCTTGCACATACCTCGCATCATGGAATATCAAGGACATGGAAAACTTGCCGAAGGCACATGACAACAAGGACGAGCCCTTCATCCCATGTATATCCAGGGACCCTCCCTTGGCTATGCGACCACAGCCTTCACCAGACCAAAAGGATAGCAGCAAGCGGACGATGCACCGTCAGCACCAGAAGAGGAGCCTTCGACAATAGTTGCCGTCTTTGGTGGCGCCAGGTCCCCTTTGCTAGAATCGCCGTTGCCATGATCCGAGCCAGAAACTTGGCCATCTGGGTCGGCCAGAGATGACCATAGCCCCGCATGAGCAACTTCGACCTCATCAGGGCACAAGGAACATGGTGATGACAAATAACAACAACAACAATGAAAATAATGATGATGATGATGATAATAATAGTAGTAGTGGTGGTGGTGGTGGTAGTGGTAGTAATTTTAACATCCTAGCGTTTATATAGCAAATAACTTGGTTGTACCTATGCTAGATTAGTCAATTAGATGAGCAACATAGATAGTCGAGATCTAAATTGGATTATACATGAGACTGTCCTATTTAGATTTACTATTTTATTAGAGGTAATAATTCGTGTTTGTATTGTGAGCTAAGAGAATTATAAGATACAAAGATAAGGAGACCGAGTAACTTTTCATTTTCTTCAAATAGGTAGCTTAATTCTAGTTCGGCCGCCGAACTAGATAATGGAAGTTATCTAATCCATCCGGCGTTGTTTCACTTTTAGTATCTGCAGCCTCGAGAGAATCTATTCAAACTAACTTTCAGTTGACGAAAGCAACACTGGTGTTACTACCATAATTCTACTTTACATGCATTGAAGAAGGCTAGATGATTGTAGTATTTGAATTAATGCAAATGTGGTTAAAGCCACTTATGGGAAATGAAGTGAGTTGTCTCAAATGCTAGGCAGTAGCGATGTCTCGTTTAATCATGGATTATTGAATGTGGCGCAATCCAAGAAGGAACGGGTAGAAATCATTCGTCTTCACAAATAAATCAATTTGTGTCAACCTAAAAGTAATTTCTAGAAATGGCAGACATAGATACCGATGTTGATAGCCTTGCCACGAATAAAGAACACATATAATACAAGCAATACACATGATGATGATGATGATGATGATGATGATAATAATTGTAATAACAAATAATAATAATAATAATAATAATAATAATAATAATAATTTATAAAGAGGGAATCACTAGCTTTAAAATTTATATATACATATTGTCGTTAGAATCATTGTAAAATCAATAGACAATTAAGATGTTCCTAGCATATATAGGAGGGGCACGGGGTGCTACTGTTACTTAAAAGGCACATGAGTACCATGTGTTAGTCTATGATTCCTTGGCTATTAGTTCACCCTCCTAGGCATATGCACCACCGTAGGTCTTTTGATATGATCATGCAAGCAGATATGATCATATAAGCAGTGTAGCATGCATGGCGGAAAATAGCTCAAGAAATGATGGTCTTTTACCCGCAAAAACTAAACCATGGTCTTTAAGTAAGGAAATCAAATGACATACCACATGGTCGAGGTGATTAATTAATGGCACTTGATTGAGCCAAGGAATTACTTACTCTGGGTAACTTTTCTAAGCTTGTTAAAGATCTTGATCATAAAGGTAGCTGATGATTGCACCCATACTTTAGGTAGATGATGATTGCACCCATAATTTTTTTGCAGAAAGGCCAATGTCCATGTATTAAGTATCACAAATCCTAACAAAATTGAGAAAAAAAATACAACCAACTCCTTGGGGAGCAGGGGGCGATGTTTTCTTCTTACTGCATCCACCGGCAATGCAATGTGAGCAAAGCTCGCTGTGGTGATTGGGCCTCCATCTTCTTGAGACCCATGAGCTTGTAGAAGCACCGTTCAGGAAGTGGTCGATGTAAACCAAAATATGTCGGCGATCACAATCTACATTGGATTCACCACCCCGGAGAAGAAAACATTGGAGAGTTCTGGGTAAGACCTCGGGTCCAGCCAGAATGAGCCGGGGAAGACAACTCTCACACGCTCCCCAACGAGACCAAGTTTTCAATCTTGGTCGGCCAAAACTGGACTAGTGGACTAAGACAGACAATTGCGACACCCAGTCCTCAAGACAATGCCATCAAGACAAACCTAGAGAAGAAAAACCAAAACTTGGAAACTCGTATCTAGGGACACAACACCCTCCAAACGCCTCCCAACAATGCCAAGAAGCACCATCAAAATGAGGATAAGGTGTGGAGGACTTATTCCCCGCCGACGCAGCACCATCGCCTTACCACTGACGACTAGGGATCGAGACCTAAACTAAAAATCTCACCCTACCACCACTGGTACGAGACAACGAGATGCCTGACCTCGTCGTCTAAGAAGTCTATGGAGGGAGAGGGGGGCTTTGATCTCACGGGGGAGAAGGTAGATCGATGCCACCACCCTAGTTCCAATGGTTTTGTAGGAGAGAGGAGGAGGAAACACATGTTGTTGTTCTTGCATGATGATTGCACCCATATAACCCTGCACACATGGAATAACTTGTGACATTTTTCTGGTAAAGGGAATAAACAAGTTAAAACACTAAACAATGAAAGTATGGTATATTTTCCATTTTGCACGTAAATGCTTTTTAGGGATAAGCTTCCATTTTGCAGAAAAAAAAGAGATGAGCTTCCATGACCAGATAGCATGCTACTCCCTCCGATCCATAATAAGTGTTGTGGTTTTAGTTCAAATTTGTGTGGTACTACTTAGTAATGGCAAAGTGTGTCACCGTCGCGCTCCTGCTACTGGTGGTGCTCGTGTCCTGCGAAGGGAGGGAGCTGAAAGAGAAGAACGGCGCACTCGCAGCTACACGCGGTGCCGGTGCAGGTGGCGGCATCGACGAGTCGAAGATTTTGGGGTTGCCTGAGTTGCCGCTTACCACAACCATTACGGGCCCGGTGGTGGTGCTTCCTGCACTTCCTGGGATCCCTGCTCATCCATGATCATCTCTAGTTCATGCGATGGTTGACAAGCCGAAGCTAAACTTGTGCCTTTAGCCTTCTAGCTAGCACCGCCGGGAAGAAAAATGCCGGCGCTGTATGCATTTCTTTTCTGTTCATGTTCTGGCATTTTACGTTCCTTGATGTGCTACATGTATCATCAACATAATAAATACTACTATTTCACTCTTATAACAAAATTCCCAAATCAAGAGTTGTTCGGTTATAGAAATAGGTCCATGCATAGTTGTGGAATTCATTTCTACTTCAACATTATGCTGGTATATATAGTAGAGTGCTGTCAAGGTAATCAAACAAGTTCCTATGTAATACGTGTTTTTACAACCTTACAAATGCTGGAGTATCCAAGTATACATCATGTGACAAGCGATTTTGATAGATTTGGTCCTCCACGGTATAATAACTCTACTTCGGTACCCCCTCACCCCGCCCCCCACAAACGTTTTATGGATCTTAAACCACACTTTATAAAGCTAATTTGTCTTTGTTTACTTTGACGTCCACGTCTCATTATATCTCGATAGTAATTTGGAGATGCCATTGCCACCTACAACAAGTTGCAGCAGGATTGAATCCAATGAGTGATTAAGTGCCGACGGTTGTGCATGATCAATTGAACATAGACTGAAGTGTCAAGGCATGTCTATTAGAAGGGAGAGAGGGAGATTGATGAAATAGTTTGTTGTATTGCTTGAGCCTCATGGACATATATATAGGAGTACATGATCTACTTGGAGTACAAGACAAGCCAGAATACTTCCTAGTCTCTGCTATGTTTCCAATACAATCACGTTACTCAACATCCCCCCGCAGTCACAACGGTAGCGACGCACACGGTGAGACTGAAGAAGAATCCGAAGGCAAGCTGACGGACACCCCCTCACAGTTGTAACAGTTGACGCATCGCGAAAGTCGTGGCTGGAGTGGAAACCGACGAGGTTGCTCAAGCAAGGTGGTAGCCCGTTGTGTCGTTGTCGAGATAGCCGAGAGCGTGGGTGGTGCAGCCGTGGTCGAGGTAGCCGTGCGAAGAGTGTCGTGGTCGATGTCGAGTCAGGGTGGCCGGTGTCAGGAAGTCGCCTTGGAGCCGCGAGCGCAAGGGGGCGCCGAGTTAGCATGGGCGCAGTGGTGTCGAAGTAGTGGTGCGCCGGGAAGAAGATGTTTTTGACGACGCGTCGCGACGGGTTTGCCAAGCCCGAGGACACATCATGGACGAAGGCACGCACCGGTGTTGCCAGCACCGCGCATGTGTAGACGAACGAAGACGAAGTTGACGAAGCGCCGCACCAGGCTTGCCAGGCCCGGGGACACGTCGTGGACGAAGGCACGCATCGGTGTTGCCAGCACCGGGCATGCGTAGACGAGGGATCTGCACGAGCTGTACACCATGTCGAAGAAGTCAGAGGTGCTATCAGAGAAGAACTCGACGACGGTTGAGGCGCCAATCAGCGCGGGGCCGATGTCGTCCGAGGTGGTCGGATTAGATGAAGTGGTCAGGGTAGATGACGATGACGCTGGCGACGGGCTGGTGCTATAAAAAGACCAAGGAGGTGGACAGGGGCGTCAGCGGCTACGAGGGTAGCGGCGGCGGCCGAAGAAGAGCGGCGGCGACGGCCTGACGGCAGCGGCGGCGGCTAGGTTAGGAGTGCGGCGGCAGTGCTCGAGGTAGGCGAAGAACCCTGACAGCGTGACGAAGACCGGCGTGGACGGTGGCGTTCCCGCGCCAAGGGAGACGGCGCGATGCATACCACAGGAGGTCGACGTGCGGTGACGGCGGAGTGGACCGTGGGCCGCGGCGCTACGGCCCGAAGGGGCGACGCAGCGGCGGCGGGCAGGTCGGGGCGACGACAGGAAGACCTCGGGGCGGCGGCAGGGACCGTGGGCCGCGGCACTTCGGCCCGAAGGGGCGGTGCCGATGGAGCGTGGGTCGGTGCAACCGCAAGGACGGCCTCGGGGTGGCGGCTAGGACCGCGTACCGCGGCACTACGGCCCGTAGGGGCGACGCAGCGGCGACGCACGAGTTGATGCAGCTGCGAGGAGAACCACGGGGCGACGGTGCTGCGGCAGCCCGTTGCTCGATCGGCGGAGGGGCGCACTGGACTCGGGGACAATCTTCACGGGACCTGCGGAGGCGCGCGCAACTGACGGGCCAAGCGGGTTGCGCGGCGTTGATGGGGCAGATCGGGGCGGCGAGCGGGTGATCAAGCCAATCACGCTCGATGGAGGCATGGTGACGGCGGAGTCCGTGAGGAGGCCAGCGACGACGGATGGCGTGGGACGTCGTGCGGACGAGCGTGTCAGCACCGGCACCCGAGCTGCCAAAGCAGCGCCGGCGCCCGGGCAGCGAGGCCCGAGCGACCGACGGAGCAGCGGCGCCCGAGTTGAGCCATTCGACGAGCTTGACGCAGCCGTCCCGAAGCAGCTGAGGACGAGGTCGGCGAGGTAGACCGCCAGACCGCCGTGCAGACGCGGCGGAGGTGGGTGACGTGGATCGATGGGCGGGCCGGCGCGCGAACGGTGGCTATGATTGGCCTTCGCATGGCGCGAGGCCGCCGGGTCGGGGCGATGCAGGTGTCCCGGTCGGAGCAAGGCGATGACGGCCGGCGGAGATTGACGGTGGGGCCAGTGCGCGGACGATGACTGTGATGGGCTGCCGCATCGCGCGAGGCCGCCCGGTCTGGGCGACTGGCGGCCAGACGCGCGGACGACGGCCATGAGAGGCCGCCTGTCGCTCGAGGCTGCCAGGTCGGTGAAGAGGCCGATCGGTCACGCTGGTGTCGGAGTAGAGGCGCATGGAGTCGACGACGACGGCGGGTGACGCAAACCTGATCACATAGATTGAAAAACCAAAAAGTAGATGCTGACCAAAGCGATCGGCGAGAGAGAGAAAAGCCCGAATCACAGGATCGGGGAAAAAGACTCTCTACGGCAGCCGGTCGACACGACCGGCGGATGAACCCTAGGTATGGACGGCGCGGCCCCCGGCGGCAGTCATGAAGGCCGACCGCCCCGGGAGCGGCGCGCGGAGCGGAAGCGACGGGAGGTTAGGGTTTAGAATCCGGAAACTGGTACCATGTTAGAAGGGAGAGAGGGAGATTGATGAAATAATTCGTTGTATTGCTTGAGCCTCATGGGCATATATATAGGAGTACATGATCTACTTGGAGTACAAGACAAGCCAGAATACTTCTTAATCTATCCTATGTTTCCAGCACAATCACGTTACTCAACAATGTCGACCTATTTCCAGAGATCCATCTAACGGGATTGAAGCAGCGATCCTGACTATTTTGAGTTGATGAAATGTACATCATTAATGACCACACGCACGACCAGTGGCGGAACTAGAAAAAATGGCCAAGTGCTCTTAAAACTGATTGGGGAGAGCCAAACCATTAATTTAATAGTAAATCGTCACTAATTCTGGCACTGTTCATCGGCAAATATGCAGCAAATCCATGATGTTAGGGTGGCTGTGTTGAAGTACAATGTCCTGCCCTCTCCCATAGTTCGGAATTTTGGATGAGTTAGTTGGAGCGTGAATTCAGTATGGTATCAGAGCACGACTGCGCCAATGACTCAACACACTAGTTACCCTGTATATCTTTTCTCTTTAAGATAAATAAACATTCTACTAGCTTAGATCACTTAAATATTTTTTTTGTCTTTTTACTTGGATTGCCCACACAAGTTTCCTGGAAAACTCCCCATGCAGTCGAGGGGGGCGGGGTTGGGGGGGGGGGGTTTCCTTTACTTGAAGCCATGAAGCTCACTACTCAACTCATGAGGGCTACCAGGAAGCCAACATGCACCATAAAAAGAAAGAAAATAGTTGGACCATAGTGCCTTGAGAAAGCATCATGGGACTATGCACCTAACTCGATGACCCATTTTCGTTTATATTGTGCTTGGGATGCAAGGTAGATGCCATGAGTATGAAGGGTCATAAAAACTTTATGGCCCTTACTTGAACGGTAGGGGGATCTCCATTCACAAATCGTGGGACTTTGAAGTGCCTCAATCCAGGATCCAACGTGGTCCATAATGGTGCCGGGAAGGCTCAATTTCTCGTTAACACCTAATTCAAGGTTACACTAGATATACAACAACTGATTTTGAGAATGACTGAGCGAGTCTATACAAGTCGAGCAATCTGCTCAATCTAACACCAAACGGGTTTAAACCGAAGTTCACAAAGCTACTAATAAAACATGACGAAGAGAAGACCCATGCGGATTCACCCGAGCAACATATTCATGTTAAGGAGTATTAGTATTGGTCTAGGAGTCCTTATCAGACTATGTCTCTTGCCTTATACCCCAAGTCATGTGCAATATATATATGCCCCTTGGGATATGCAATAGAGATAAGTTGCATCCATAACAGTTCTTAGTAAACCAAATGGTTTAGAACAAATGTCTTCCCCAGCTATACATCAAACATAATGAGGAGTACTAAGATAAAAATCCATGCAGATTCCCTCGGCCCAGGAAACATATGGGTTCGAGCCAACTAGTACACAAAGGCTATCAAAGCTATGTAACAAGTAAAAAGATAGGTCATCGTCAAGACAAAAGCCCTACGAATCCATTGAAGCAACTCATAATTAAGTACCAGACAAATTTTCCAAACTAATAATTTTCAGAAGGGCTACGGCTACACAACAGAAATAGGAAAAGATCCATGTTGGGTTTCCGCGCAGCCTCAAGATAATGAGATGCAAGATGTCTCGCATGGGAACGAACGAACGACAACTTATCTCCTAGTGCTGAAGAGGCCACCAAGGTGTTCCCTCCGTGGGTGACGGGCACGTCACGTCCAAGGTATGCTCAGTGCCGCAAATAGCATCAAGATTGTGCCCTAAGCGGTCGTCGTATACGCGGTTCACACATTGTAGGATGGACATCGTCTCCAAGGCTACACGCCTTGTGGGGAGCATCCTGCTCAGGTGGCGTCGCAGAGAGCCAGGAAAGTGCTTCAAGGGA